CATGTCTCCTGCAATGCTAAACAAGGCTGTGCTATGTGGCAGAGCAATACAAATCTCAGAAGTGGATGGACAGAAATACAAATCTTTTGGCAGGTGACCTTTAGCTCCTTTATTTTATTGTGTATACAGCTGTCTGCCTTGAGTTAAGCTTTAAATAAAGAGAATAATGCAACCTATGGCACTGCTTCAGAATACAGAAAACAGGCATTAGACAGGAGATCTAAAGTCATAGTATTAATGCGTATATCCTCATAACCCTGAACAAAGCAGGATTGCATACCCGCTGGCCACAGAAAACTGAATTAATTTTTTTTATGTGCAATTTTAAATCTATGTCTTTTCTCTTTTAACCAAGCAATATGGTTATCAATATCACTTCCTCGAGTTACAAGGTGTCACTTCAATTGCATGTCTCATTTCAAGGTCATTCTAACCATTTCCTGTGTATCATGTCATTCTTATTTCAGTTTTCATCTATGTTCTCATTCCCATCTTGTGGGCACTCATGGTTTAGAACGTCAGTGAGGAAATGAAGGTACAGAAAGATCTTTTGTATTCCACATTCTCAGTATGAAGAAATGATAATGGCTTTGGGTCAATTTATATTGTATATTTTTGTTGTTGATACATTTCTAAACTGATATGTTGTATCTGTTTTTACCACTGTAATTATATTACGTTTGTTTTACAATTTGATATTAAGAGAGAACGCAGCACACATTATTTTCTTTCAAACTCCCCTTGTTTTTACATAGTTACATAGTATTTGAGGTTGAATAAGACATAAGTCCATCAAGTCCAACCTAGTGTGTGTGTGTGTATGTGTGTGTGTATGTGTGTGTGTGTGTGTATGTGTGTGTGTGTATAGGTCCCTGAGTCATCTCATTCTTAAGAGTACCTGTACCCCTGTACTTTACAGTCTCTCAGGAAATCGTCCAAAAGCTTCTTGAATGATTCCACACTATTTGCTGAGATCCCTGCTTGTGGCAGCGAGTTCCAGACCCTAACCGCTCGAACTCCCCTTCGTCCCTTGTGTTGGAATTTTTTTTCTACCAGTTTTAGGTGGTGTCCTCTAGTCTTTGTTACAGAATTAATCTTAAAGATTAATTAATCTTAAAGAGTTTGTTGCTAATGTTGCTATGACTAGTGAACATTTTATGCATGAAAATCATACCCCCCTTAATCTCCTTACTTCCAGCATGAACATATTTAAATTTAGTAGCCTTGTCTCATATTTCTGGTCCTCCATTCCCTTGATGAGTTTGGTTGCCCTCCGCTGGACTCCCTCCAGCTCAAGGACATCCCTTCTGTGCACCGGTGCCCAAAACTGCACCGCATACTCCAGGTGAGGCTGAACCAGTGATGTGTAAAGTGGCAAAATTATAGACTTGTCTCTACAATACATTCCCTTCTTGATGCAGGACAGGATTCTACTAGCTTTGCTTACAGCAACCTGGCACTGTAATCTATTATTCAGTCTATGGTCTACAGTGACCCCCAAATCTTTCTCCATTTCCAACTTCCCTACCGGCATACCCATAATTGTATAACCCATTTGCTTATTTTGAATCCCAAAGTGCATAACTTGGCATTTATCGATATTAAACCTCATCTGCCATATAGTTGCCCACTCTCCTATTTTATCCAGGTCCTCCTGCAATGTTATACTATCTTGGTCCGTTTCTATTACCCTCCCAATTTTGGTATCGTCAGCAAACACTGAGATATCGCTGTTTACTCCGTCCCCGATGTCGTTAATAAACAGGTTGAAAAGCATGGGTCCCAGCACAGAACCCTGAGGCACACCGCTAATCACACTAGCCCAGTCTGAAAGGGCGCCATTTATTGATACTCTCTGTACCCGTTCCTTTAGCCAGTTCTCTATCCATGAACACACCCTTCCATCTATGCCCATAGACCTCAGCTTGTGTAGTAAGCGTTTGTGTGGTACCGTATCAAAAGCCTTTGAGAAATCCAGATATACCACATCCACAGACCTCCCTCCATCCAGATCTCTACTTACCCCCTCGTAAAAAGTTAGTAGGTTAGTCTGGCAGGAACGGTCTTTCCTGAACCCATGCTGATTATCACTAATTATACCATTATCCTGAACAAATTCTACCAAATAGTCCTTAAACATTCCCTCTAACAGTTTACAAACTACCGATGTAAGACTAAATGGTCTGTAATTCCCAGGTTGGCATCTTGCCCCCTTTTTGAATATTGGAACTACCGTAGCCCTCCGCCAGTCACTTGGAACTCTACCAGTCATTAGGGAGTCCTTGAAAATGAGGAATAATGGTCTTGTTATAACCGCGCTTAGTTCCTTAAGTATCTTGGGGTGCAGGTTATCAGGTCCCACTGCTTTATTTGCATTAAGTAGATTGTCTTTGTTGTATCCCGGTTTCCGTCAACCACTTGGCTATATTTTGTGATGAACTATGTGTTTCATCATGTACATTAAACCCGTATTTTTCGTGAGTGTATACTGAGGAGAAAAAAAGTGTTCAGCACTTCGGCCCTCTCCTTGTCATTTGTGACTAACTTCCCGTTTTTGTCCTTTATTGGGCCTATCTGCTCCTTTCAGCCCTTTTTACTGTTTTATGTATTGGTAGAATTTTGTTTTGTTTTATACTAACTGTGGCTATATGCTTTTCGCACTCTATTTTAGCTGCCCGGATTACTAGTTTACATCTTTTATTCCATTCTTTGTAGTTATGGAACGCCAATGCCGTCCCCTCCAACTTATATTTTCTAAATGGCACTCGCTTTTCCTTTATGTGTTGCTTTACATTTTTATTTAGCCATACAGGCTTAGTTTGTGATCTTTTACTTTTATTACCCAACGGAATACACTTGGCAATGGCAATATGTAAAGTGTTCTTAAAACATTCCCACTTTTGTTTTGAGTTCAGTTTGTGAAATACATTTTCCCATTTGATGTCCCCCACTAGATGGCGCAGTTTATCAAAATTGGCCTTTCTAAAATTTAGGGTTCTTGTCCGACCAGCCCGCTTCCCTTTCCTGTATCCAATATTGAAAGTAATCACATTGTGATCACTATTACCCAGAGTCTTACTGAAGGAAGCCCTCTAAAGGACGTAAGGAAGGGGAGTCACTGCTCTGACTCATTTAGTTGTGCTTGTAAACTTCAACTTGACATAGTGTAACATTCTTTTTCAACAGATGTGCTAAGGAGAGTCTGGAAAACATATGAAATGGAGCCAAGAGCTCCACCTGCTGGCTGCCTGTGATTTTGTACATTTTTGTGACCAGCACTTTGAAATGCACTTTCACTTTTGCAGTCAAATTTGAAAAAAAACATTTTATGTTTGTTACAGCATACCAGAAAATAATTTTTACCTTTGTACTTGTTTCTTTGGAGCCGGATTATACATAGCACTTCCCAGGGCCCTAATAAATTTTTTCTTAAATATTCCTTACCTTTATACTTGTTTCCTTGGAGCCGGATTATACATGGGACTGCCCGGGGCCCTAATAAATATTACATAGCAAGTGAAAACTAAGGGGGTTATTCAAAAAGGAGCCGAAGGATCCAGCCGTAGCTCCGGCTGATCCTTCAGCTCTCTTCGGCCTATTCAATATAGCCCTACAGCAGCCAAAGGCGGCTCAGCCGAGCCGAAGGCATATGCTTCGTCTCAACTGAGCCGAAGTGACACCCAAAGCGTGGTGAACGGCCTGCCGAAGGGCCGGCCGTAAGTGTCGGAACTTCTTGCACAGCCTCACGGAGAAACACAAGCACTGAAGTGCAGCCGAAGGCAGTCGATGTACGGCTGAAATCAGCCGTACTGAGCTGTAGTGAATAGCCAAACGTTGTTCGCCTCACTTCACTTCGGCTGGGTTATTCACTAGGCTGCCTTCGGCAGCTTTGTGAATAACCCCCTAAGTATTTTTTAGCCCCGGAGTTTTCATAAAAGAGTGTTTAAAGAGGAAAAGCAGCATTTTTTTTTTAAATTAAAGTTATGCTTTGTGAATGGGAACACGTAACAAATATAAAGTAGGTGTTATTCCAATTTGGCTGCAAAAGTAGAGTTACATTGGTAAATACTTTCGCTTTCATTTTTGAATGTAACCATTTGTAGTAAGGCAGCAGTGGATATTTTTAAATATAGATCAACTTTAATTTACCCAACTCATCTTTAGTAGTAACAGCATTGGGTAACTAATGTGTTATTAGTAATTTGAGAGCAAAAAAACAATGCATTACTTCTCACCAACACATACACATTTCCAAAGGTTATGTCTCTTTAAAAATGCTGCATGTTGATCCTACCAGAAATCCAATGAGTTCCTAACTTCCTGTGCATTTAAATATTATGCAGGGGAAGGTGTTCTATTGTCTAAGTCAAGGGTGCCCAGTCTATGGTGACAAAGCTTCCCCTCCATAGTAAAGGGAGTGAGTGTTGTCACCCTCGGAGAGGAATGTGTTACTGGCAGGATCACCAAAATAAAAAGGAAACTACAGCAGTCACATCTAATGACTACAGCTGCCATATCATTTGGGTTAGATACATTTTAAGAAAAAAAATCCTAAAGGTGCCCATAGACATTAGATGAGCGTAAACATATTTGACTGTTTAGTGAGGCAACCCACAATATCCCTAAACAAGTGTACTTGGGGGTACTGTGACCGGTTGGAGCATTCACCTGCGCTATTGTTTAAGAGTACAAAAGCTGGTACCAGAGCTGTAAGTGCCTCCCCCCACCGTCCTCTATTTCTTAAACATGGACATTTATTCAACCGGAGCCTTTCCCTTTAGAAGCTGGGATGGGAGACCATGACATTATCATCTGATTATTATCTTCTGATATCCATGGCCAGCTTCAGCCAAACATGCAGATATTTATAAAGATACCTCATAGATATAAACCGGTAACTGTAAAAACTTATGAGGAAGAATCTCATTTGTTCCTAGTCATGATGATGGTAATAAAAATGTTTCCATTCTTGTATGACAGTGTTTTTTTTTAATCTTCAGGTATCCTATGTGAAAGCTATCGATATCTGGATGGCGGTGTGCTTGCTCTTTGTCTTTTCTGCTCTGCTGGAGTATGCTGCTGTCAACTTTGTCTCACGACAGCACAAGGAGCTTCTACGTTTTAGGAGGAGACGACGACACCACAAGGTAACTATTTCTGTGGCCCACTGTGTGGCACTGGGTCCAGGTAAAGGATGGGTTCTACCAAAATGATTTGTCAGTTTTAGGTGGAGGCCTAAAGAGCTGATAATTTTGTGTGGGGGCTACAGTGCTGAGATTTCCATGTGTACCCACCTCTGCTCTACTTGGTCATTACATGAGAAATGGTATAAAAAAAAATTCAGACTTTAGCTGCAGGAACATTAGCCCTAGTATTAAGGAGACTCTTGAAAGACAGAAAAGGCAAGTGGATTAAAATGTATCTAAAGTCAAAACTCTTTTCTAGTCTGGATAGGGTGGGGGAGGCTTAGGAATTCCTTTCCAGTTTTCATTGCTGTCTAAGTCTTCAATAGGAAGAGTCACCACCTCTATTTATTTGTCCAAGTGACCACTGTCATTCGGACTGAATGTCAGGAGTGAAAAATCCAACATTTTAATTTGTCACGAGAACAAGAATAAAGTGGAAAGCTTCCAGTGGGGAAATTTGTTCAGGTGACAGTTGTCTAAGAGGGGGTTTCCCTTACTGTATAGATTTCATCTCATGTACTGTTGTGTCTAGAGGACAGGAAATAAAGGGAATCCCCAATGGAAGACAGACAAGAAAAAAATAATTTTAAATGAAAATTGTTTTGGATTTAGATATATATTAATTGAACCATCTGACATAGTCTAATCTTAAATATCCGTTTTAGGTGCATGCAGCTTTTAAATTGTATTAAAGAAGAAATATGAAGTGAGTGATTTACACTCATTCTCATAGTTAGAGCCAACGTGTGACATGTGACATGAAACTGTCACACGTCGGCTCTGTAGATCGGGAAGTAAGCAAAAACATACTGTTGTTCACTCACATCCCGGTCATCTTCCTGTGGAGAGCAGTGAGTGTCAGTCACCGTTCCCTGCAGGGATACTCCCCGCCCCCCTCTCGGATCCTCCAGAGCTGACTGGAGGAAGAGACGGGGAAGGGGGTGGACACCGCTGGCTCTGTCTCTAGATAGGCAGAGCCCGCTGTGAATCAGCCAGCTGAGTGGATCTCGACAGTATTGTTGGGATCCATCCCAGCTGCGGCGCTCTCAGTATATAGCGGGCAATAGCCCGCGATATACTAAGCTTGGGTCACGGAGGGACGTTAGTATATGTCCTCCTGTGACCCTAAAGAGAACTATGGGATCAAAAGTTTACCCCATAGTTTTCTTTTAAGCTCTTTGCTTAGAAATCATGGGGTCTGTTCTGGAGTAACCTTGATATTACTCCAATAGCAGCATAATATAAAAAAACTTTTTTTAGGCTAGCCTGTGATTATTCAGCAGAACAATCTTGGCATAATTTTGCACAACCGTTTGGCTGGTAGTTCACTACTATAGAATTGACACCTTCCCACTAGTCTTATCTCAAGGAAACAAGAATGATATTCAAGAAAAGCCCATTTCAAACAATTGATTTTGCCTCAAGGTTTTTAATACTCCTACTGGGGCCTGACTTTCCCTGAGTTAATGGCTAAACATAGTGGTTGTGGAATGGAGGGTTAAAGTTTTGCTTTAGGGTTAATATACAAGTCACTTCCAGACGGGTTTTCTACAGGTTATGAAACTTCTTTATATTGCTACAGGAACCTAAAGTCTCTTATTTCTCCATCACTGTGTGCGAGCCCTGCGGCCTGCTCTGCTGTGAATGGGTAATGTTATATTTAATAGGTTTCTCTGAGAGAACAGAATAATTGATGTTATTCATTACTACAGCACCGCACAGTGCTGATCCCACTAATCACAGATTGAAAATACCATTGCAGTCTGTATTTTAATTCTGGAGAAAAATTGTTTTGCAGAGGTAATTCTGTATAAAGTGAAATGTGATCTATCTTCTACCATATCTCTGTTGGTAGGTCAGCATTGCTTACAAACCAAGTGGCACTGTGATGTTTAAAAATAAAAGCCAGACAAAAAGAATGGCAAATCATAGCTGGTGGGAATCACAGGGCAGGTAGCCAAGGCTATTAAGAAAAATAGAAGATTGAGACAAATGCCAGAAGTGAACCTATGCTCCACAGAGCCTAGGGTGATTAGCATCATCATAAGGCCAAAGTAGGGGGGTCATGCTGTGCCCTGAGGCACCACCTCATCTAACGGCACAAGGCAAGTTTAGAAATGGAGTTTGAAGGATACAGATTCCTTTCTGCAACTGCAAGGAGTACACTCTGGACCTCATCCAGCCTTGATAGCCTAGGAGCCATGATGCAAATATGGTAATCCTATTACAGCAGTTTGCCTTGGGTCTACCAAGACACAAAGCCAACATCAAACAAATGCAATGGATCTTGCAGAAGACCTAATGTCAAATCTTAACTGCTTCAGTTGTATAAGGTGGCAAAACTACAAAAGTAAATGTATTTTCTTTTTTAAAGGAATAGCTTTATTGCAGACATTTTTATGTTGTCTGTAGATGTATTCATTCCCCCCTATCCATTCCCTCCTTGAAGCTCTTGATCAGAAGGCAAGTCTTCAACATTGTGCAGTTTACAGCTTTTTTTCAGTCTGAGTTCATTTTAAATTCCTACATTCTTCCTGCATGTGCAGAAGCAGACAGCTCAAACAGAGTAACATTCCCTCTGCCTTAATTTCAACAGTATAGCAATTAAAATGCATCATTAAAGCAGAATGGTATAACCTGGTTTTGCCCTTTATAGCAAGGCTGTCATATGAAACCACATGTCCAACAAAGGCTTGCCCTTAAGAGCAGGCATTGCAAGGTGTCTATGAACACCTTCAGTTAACAGAAAACCTTCTCTGGTGACCCCACAGGGCTTAAACTCCAAGTTGGAAGTCTGGTGTGCCCTCTCTGGCTCCGTACATTGCAATGCAGGCAGCTCTCAATTGGCTATCATTGTGTGCTGTGGTATGTGAGGGCATTGGGTCTTGTATGGGGCATGGCGTTTTTATGATTGGTTCCTTTTAAACAACAACTTCAAGGCTGATGACTTAAAAGTCATCTGCATGTCTTCAGACACGTCTAATTGAAAGCATTCCTAGTATGTAGCTGTGCAATGCTTCTAGCCTTCACTCTCCTAGAGGGATGCTGTAGGGGGTAAGCAATGAGTAAGTACATGTAGGGATGTCTCCCTTCGCATATCAGTAGAACTGCATGCTATCCTCTTCTTCTGCTGCTCTCAGGATTTCTTTCTAATTATCTGTAAAGCTGAGAGCCAAGGTTGTTTTCAAGAACATTTGGACGAGTATTTTAAGACTGCAAGCTGCTAAGAATGCATCCACGAGGTATGAGGGCAATATAGTAAATATAATTACTTTTATCACAGAGGTGTATGTATTCCTTCATTATTTTTATCATCTTTAGTGGACCAGTGGAAAACATCCTCTGTTCATGTCCAGCAGCAAAGTCCTGGTCTTTTGGTATTGTGCTACGGAGCAGTTCAGTAACAGGGATTCCAGCCGTCCTAACCTTTCCTCAGCTGAGGACCTGCAGATAGGGAAGACAAGCTATCAGTAGGACTCCACTGCTCCTGGACATCCCTAATTTAGAAGAGATTTTCTTCTCACTAAATGAAGGCAGAGTGGAAACACCCATTTATCATTGTTCCCTATAAGCAAACCTATTTGGAAATAAAAAGTGTATAAAATCTATTATCCACAGTTGGACTGGATGGCAGATTCATGTGCCCTTCCCCCCCAGGCTTGTATTACATGAATCTTGTATTACATTCTTGTAATACATGATTGAGGGTCATGTCTGGGGTGGGTAGGTGGATGGCAGAGGCAAACCAGGGGATATCTGCTCTGAAATTATTCATCAATACAGATTAATTAAATTATCATACTGCATAATGATATATTTTATTGTTTTCAGTAAAAATGCAAAATACCTGGTAGATACAGTGAAATGGATTAAAGAAAATTCTTAATATTATCCAATACAATGTGTTGGAGATCTACTTTTGTTTTCTAAAAGGAAGTCGGAAAATTATTGCTGGATTCTGATAAGTTACCACTGTAGGAACTCTTCTGTTATTTACTTTGTTTAAATGAGCCCTCACAGTAACAATTGAGCCCTTGTGGAAGAGTTCCCCATTTTACTAGTGGGATTAGGAGTAAGGATCCCCTGCTTTGCACCTGCATATTGCATAGCACCCTCGACAAGCCTTCTCCAGACATAATAATGAATTGTAAAACAGATAGGGGAAGAGTCATTTAGGCATCCACACAATTACAATTTACATATCTGTTGATGATCTTAATAATATGCTGGAAAGATACCTTGTACAGTTAGGTATTACTGTAGGATATCTTACTGTGCATATGTTTGTACAATAAGTATAATGTGCACGTTAGTCCTACCATATAAATGTGGTACTTCATCTCTGTGCTTCCCACAGCAAAACTGTGGGAGGGACCCAGGAGACCCACTACAGGCTGCCTGCAGAAAACTATAGGGGGGCGAATAGAAGAGCAGTCATCCTGCACAAGGATAGAGAGAGCAGCAGTGACCAGTCTATGTTACAGGAAACTCCTGCACAGAGACAAAGTTTCACGCTGGATAACTGCACAGATCTAGAAGAAACACACAGAGTACACCATGATTCTTACTTAGTGGTCAGTCAGCATGTGTTTATTAGTTTTAGAAGATAAGTGAGTGGTACCTCAGAATACTTCTGAGTTTACTTATGAGGTTGGGTTCGCTGCTACCATGGGTTCTAGGGAAATCCTGTGGGCCATTGTGCACACTCATGGCCTTTGAAATATTGCCACCAGGCTTAATGGGGTAATTGAGGGGGCATTTGTTTAAGTCAGTCTCCTCATTATAAAAGGGGGATTGGTGCACAGTGCAGACATAGTATCTGTCATCATAGTATGGTGTATTGGAATTGGTTGCACAGTAGCCATAGCAAAAGTTGACATTAGGGTACATAAGGGTCAGTTGGGAAATTGTACTTTAATTCTGATTGTTAGCAGTTTGGACATTCAGCCCCTTTGCTGCTT